TACGCGCGTGTGCCCCAGGTGATGGCGCAATTTGTTCTAAAAATAGAATTATTGTCCCATATCATGGGGACAACCCCAATACTTGAAATGGCGCGCGCTAACGGTCTCCGTCCCCGATTATGGCTCCTGGTTAATATGATATAAATATCCATTCCACGAGCGAGTTTAACTACCTCCTAGCTACCCTCACATTTCAGACCGCTGAGCTCGCCAACTTGGTCTATCAAAGTTATCCTGCCCTCATTGCGTGAACATCGTGAAATTATATTGCGAAAGAGTATAAATATGAGAGTTTCCATGAGAATAGCAATATAAACGCCATCAGTTACGTTCTTTATTTCAGCTTACTTTACTTTACCTTACTTTACATCTAGATCTCATTTTTATTTAGCCGCTAACGCTTTTTCTCGTAAACATTCTTAAACGTATAACGTTGAATATTACATGTGAAGGTTTGTTTGCAAATTTAAGATTTTGATCAAGTTCAAAACTCTATGCATGCATGTTGCATGTTATTGGTACAAGGCTGCATGCCATGCGTGTTATTGATAAAATGTTGAATGTCACCTTTGACATAAACATTCACCAGAGTAACACGCAACAGTACAACAATGGCCTATGACATCATATGACGTCGCATCTGTGAAATGCAACATCACATCTGTGGCATGTAGCATCACATCTGTGACATGTAACATCATATCTGTGACATGCGACGAAGCATCTGTGACATGAAAGATCGTATCCGTGACACGCAACATTACATTTCTGACATGCAACATCACATCTTTGACAAGAGAAATCACATCCATGACGTGCAACATCACATCTGTGACATGTAACATCACATCCGTGACATGCAAGATCAAATCTCTGACACTGGGACGTGTGGCAAGGGTAATGTTGCATGTCACATGTGTAATGTCCCATGCGCATGTCACGTTGTCAGGTTTCAAACCGACCATAAGCATTAAGAGGCGACTATTTGGTCTTGAATTGCTCTCAATCAACTCGTACTTTTATAGAAATTCCAAAGGTAGTTCAACATTATAAGTTCATTAACAGTGCCCAAATAAACTTATACGCCACTATCTCTAGCTCCGAAAGAAAACGAGATGGCGGAGTTTCGAAATAGACGATAGTAAATAAATCAAAAAGTATACATCCAAGGAAAATTAGCTGAGTTCGGGAAAACAGAGTGTTTGAAATATCCGAGTTGGAAATAATGAGGTTCAACTATACTGACAGTATGTTGTATCAGTGATAACATATTTACACCGGCCCGAGCAAGTCATTGCACCTGACTGACGTGAGCGAAGTTATTCAACTCCAATTCAGAACAGCACAAAAACGACGACGAGTGCAATGTAAATAAGCATTCCCATGGCAACACCAGCACTTCCACCGCTGACCACCTCCTTCTCGGTATCAAACTTCACTTGCTGCAGTTTAGGATAGTAATCATTCCAAAAAGCCATTCGGCGAGAAGCAAACGCCGCCGCCATCTTGGGTTTGGTTTCAACTTGCAGATAAGCTCTGTGAGTGGAGTTGTACCTCTCCCACGTAACACCACTGACTGGTTGTGGCGTTGGATCGCCGGTCTTGACGAAGTTTGCGTACGTTGCCATGATAAACAGACTGACGTTTTTGTCGGCCGCGTCATACCTAGGAAACCACAGTGGGATTCCAAAGGGAAAAAACACGTTTTCGCCATGAGCAACTCCCATCCACTCAGCGGAAATACTGGCGTTCTTTGGACGGTGAGCAAACTCGTACATGTACACCGGAGCATATTTGCTGTGAATATCAGCAACCTCGTGACTTGGTGCAGTGAAAATTTGATCACCGATGAGGTCGACAAGTCGACTTCTCAGTGCGTATTTATCACTGTTATCAGGCCATGGCGTGTACATGAACTCCAGCGCGTCCGCGACGAGGTCGGCGGTTTTATCTCTAAAAAAGGAAAACGGAACAATCGTTGTTGGATGTTCATCATAAAAGAAAAAGATAGAAGCAAGAAACTTATTATTCCAATGACTTACCGCTGAATTTTTAAATTAAGGAATCTAGATAAGGAATCTAGAATTCTGTATAACCTGGCCTAATTACTCAGATATCTCCTTTCTATACTTGTAAATATATTTAATTCCTTATTTTATTTTATTTTGATCATCTGTGTAATTGAATTGGAGTAAATTTGGATTTTACTGTCAACTTGGGCTGTAGATATCTTCTAAATTAATGACGTTAAAGTGCAGAAACACTGCACAGACAATCCTGCCCAAAAGTCCTTGGCATACTTGACAAAATGCCAACTGGAGACCCATTATTTGGAAATGGGAAGTCATTATTCAATTTTCCCCTAAAGCAATGTTGGAATACGGGGTCTACTTTCGATGAATGGACATCAACATTGTGTTGGGGGTGGGAAGGCGGAGGTGGACAGAAAGACCATATTTTGGCAAAAGTGCCAAGTGTCCAAGACTTTTGACCAGGATTGTAGCTTACAGGTAATTTTATATAAATTAAGTTAGACCAGTGCCCGTTAATATATACCCCATCCTTTTTCAGGTTTACCACAATGGAAAATAAACAGCAAGACCACCGAAACTAACCTAAAGGGTCAGGTAGCAGCTCTCGTAAGGTCTCATATGAATGGCTTGATACCCTTTAAGAGAGCAATAGAAAAAAACAACAGAAACAATGCTCCTAGCCCCAAAACAATGACAGTTGCTAACGAACAAAACAATTACAAGCTTACAAGAGCTGCTACACTTCTGAACCTGAAAACAACATTTCAATTCACCTGCTGTTTCGAGAATGCGCATAGTTTGTTACAAATTCTTGAAGAATGAGGGACTCGCTCCGTTATCCACACTTTCCGCCATTCCAAAGCTCCGGTTCGCCATCGCTCCAAGGCCTCCTGCACCCTCCTGACTGGTAAAACTAATCATCAACTTTACTTTCCTGAAGTCTCCTTTTTCTCGTAGGCTCCGGGGGGTGTCAAGCAGAAAGTGATTATCTACAACTGGCCCCCAGCGTACATTATCAGTCATCCCAAAGGGTATTGTGTCGGAAGCTTTCTGTATGTCCACGTCTTTTTGCTGGAGTATGCAGGCGAGCATTGTTCTGTGATCGTTCGTCGCACAGTCTAGCTTTTCAGCAAGGTCAGTAGCGAAACGGAGAGCCGACGCAACGGGTTGAATTGCAAAGGGACTCAAATCCACTCCACTCTCTGCAATGGCTTGGTGGAAAAGACCCTTAGATAGAGGTGACATGAAATGGAGGGACACACTTGTTGCGCCAGCACTTATACCACATATGGTCACCTTGCTGGGATCACCACCAAAACGTTCAATGTTGTCTTTGACCCACTTGAGTGCTTCGACTTGATCCAACATTCCATAATTNGAACATCTAATGCAACATTAATCTACCAAAACGTGGCCCGTATGATTTATCGAACACTTCGAGTCATTCAAGAGTATTAAATTTGAATACGGAAAGAAAGGCCGGATTCCTATAGAATATTCCAGGTGTATTTCGAGTCAGCCGTAATCGAATACGTCAGAACATTGCGGCATACGCGGCGTGCGCCGATCCGAATTCGAAGGAATTCGGGCCCGAATATTTGGCTTTTCGCGCAGTGGACCTGATCACGTGCCAGTCGAAATTTCAAGTCGTTGTTTCCCTAGGGAGTTAGTTAGTTTTGTTCGCCCTAGGGAGTTAGTGAGCTTTGACTCACGACACGTGACACGTTCTCCTCCAATCGGAAAACGTATTTGAGTTGGGAAGTATAAGAATCTGAATGACTGCTAACGAACCGAAAACAATTACAAGCTTACGAGAGTTGCTACACCTAAAAACAACATTTCAACTCACCTGCTGTTTCGAAAATGCGCAAAGTTTGTTACAAATTTCTTGAAGAATGAGGGACTCGCTCCGTTATCCACACTTTCCGCCATTCCAAAGCTCCGGTTCGCCATCACTCCAAGGCCTCCAGCACCCTCCTGACTGGTAAAACTAATCATCAACTTTACTTTCCTGAAGTCTCCTTTTTCTCGTAGTTTCCGGGGGGTGTCAAGCAGAAAGTGATTATCCACAACTGGCCCCCAGCGTACTATATGAGATATCCCAAAGGGTATTGTGTCGGAAGCTTTCTGTATGTCCACGTCTTTTTGCTGGAGTATGCAAGCGAGCATTGTGCTGTGATCGTTCGTCGCACAGTCCAGCTTTTCAGCAAGGTCAGTAGCGAAACGGAGAGCCGACGCAACGGGTTGAATTGCAAAGGGACTCAAATCCACTCCACTCTCTGCAATGGCTTGGTGGAAAAGACCCTTAGATAGAGGTGACATGAGATGCAGAGACACGCTCGTTGCGCCAGCACTTATACCACATATGGTCACCTTGCTGGGATCTCCGCCAAAATGTTCAATGTTCTCTTTGACCCATTTGAGTGCTTCGACTTGATCCAACATTCCATAATTCCCAGGGGCCGCAGAATCTCCGGTCGTCAAGAATCCAAATGGTCCGAGACGATACTGGATCACAACTACTACTACACCGTGAAGAGCCAAAAGATCGCTGGGAAATGTGAGTGCTGTACCGTACTCGTAACCTCCTCCGTGGATATAAAACAGCACGGGCAAACTCTGGCTGACATTTGGGCTGTAGACATCGAGATACAAGCAGTCTTCACTGTACGTGAAATTTGGAGCGAACATTTTGATATAAATTTCCAACAATGTACCCTGCCAACACACGTCTCCATGCTTTTTCGTTTGGAGAACGTTCGGCCAAGCTTTTGGCGGCACTGGGGCTTTTAGTCTGAGCTCTCCAATCGGCGGAGCGGCGAAAGGAACGCCAAGAAACTTGCTGACAGACTTGAACGGACCCGAGGCATTCGGGTACGAAGTCACAAGACCTTCAATGCCTCCATACTTTGTGGACACTATTTCTGACGTGACCAGTGGCAAAAAAGCACCAATCACGGAAAACATCGAAAACATGTTCTTAAACAACATTTCCCTGTGCGTCGACTAAACCGAAGCCGAGATGTTGATAAATTTCTTGGTCAGTAGCCGTTTTAAGAATGTAGATCCTGACCAAATAGACGTAGCTCTTTAAGAAGGTAGTTACAAAGGATTAATAAACTAATCAAGATCGATGCCCAGGCTAACGTGCTTATATAAGATAAAGTATGACGTAACTACATTGTTCATATACCGATATAACTATGCCTTCATCAGGTTTTCGTCACGTTTATATTTGTGTTGGAAATCTCTTGAACCGTGAAGATTCAGGAGCCTTGCTGAAAGACTTGAATGAATGTAAAATATCCATGACATGTACACTCCAATTCTTGTCGAAAGCCTCTTCAATTTATATGAGTCACTGAACTGAAAAAGTGTACGTAGCAGAGAGCTTTCTCATATGTTGTACTATAGTTGGTAGTCTTTCGTTTATTTGTTTGTTACGAGTGATTTTTCTTCGAGAGCGCGAGCGATGCGAGAGCGGCCTTTCGGGTGTCTTTTAAATCCCCTGTGGTTAATTAATATTCCTTTTGCTTGTGTTCCGACGAACTCAAGATAGTTGGTAACTTTGATCGCAACTGAGCTATATTTCGGAAAATTTATAGTCAGTCTTCTCATATTTCGCTTGACAATCAAATTAGGTTTCGCTAAGCTTTTGGGAGTGACGTGCTTCGCGTTGAGTGTTATAATACGCAGTCAGAGCCAGAGAGAAGACGAACATTGTGATATTTAAATAAACTTATGAACGGCCTCTTGAATCTTGAATGAATATATTTGTACCTAGGAAATCGCCGCTTGTACACCGTGCCGTGATTTTTAATAACGTAATGTTTAGTACATGACTTTTAAGATAATATGATATAAACATCCATTCCACGAGCGAGTTTAACCACCTCCTAGCTAACCTCACATTTCAGATCGCTGAGCTCGCCAACTTGGTCTGTCAAAGTTATCCTGCCCTCATTGCGTGAACGTCGTGAAATTATATTGTGAAAGAGTATAAATATATGGGAATTTCCATGAGAATAGCAATATAAACGCCATCAGCTACTTTCTTTACTTTACCTTACTTTCGTATATCAGGGGTTTCGTCACGTTTATATTTGTATTGTTACATATCTTTTGAATCGTGAAGATTCAGCAATCTTGCTGAAAGACTTGAACGAAGCCAAGGTATTAGGGTACGAAGCGAAAAGATCTTTGATCTCTCCCTACTTTGTGGACCTGTTACCTACTTGATCAGAGGCGAAACTCGCACAGGCCAGGCACAATACAAAAAGATGCTAAGCTTATGACACGATATGACCATATTTGGATTGAGCACTAAAATCTTTGCAGACCGGTTTTTAATATGCACGACTGACCATGAAAGAAGGTCTACAGTTAGATGGCACTTAAGTCATGTGCAATAATATCCATGACATATAATATCCATGACATGTACAATATTTTTATCGAAAGCCACACTAATTTTCTATGAGTTCAAACAAAATTGTTACAGGATAAGTAGGAAGGTGTATTAAAAATAAAACTCTTTCATAGATTGTCATGTAGTTTTTAACTTTGACCACATTTACACAAATTCGAGAAATTAATAGTCAGTCTAGTCATATTTCGTTTTGTATTGTTCAAGAGGTGCTTTTAAAAAGGGTGACTGTCGTCAAAAATATATTTGTACCCAGGAAACCGTATTGCATCGTGCTATGATTACTAGTTATGTAATGATTAACAATAAGGAGATCAGAAAGATAATATCAAATGAGTAACTTTTTACAATCTTTTCATTCTCACGTTTCAGATTGTTCAATTTGCCAATCTGTGATCGTAAAATAATATTGCGTAGCTATAGGATTTTTCATGACAATGTAAAGAAGGTTTTAGCAATATCATATAAGCATAATCCCTTGCTCTCTTTTCCAGTCTTCTAGAGTTTTCGACAAGGTAATTACATCAAATCTAATCAAAACTAATTTCGCACTCGTTTGCCAAAAATGCAACAGAGCTATAGCGTGTATAATTTGGACAAATGGTTCTTTCTGCCTGCTCTTATG